AGCGACAGAAACACTCGAAGAGCACATGAAAATTTTGAAACTAGTTTTTGCTTGTTTGGTTGAAAATAATCTCGAACTACGTGTAGATAAATGCGAGTTTTTACAATCTGATATCGAGTATCTCGGCTATCGAGTGTCGTCTGAAGGCATAAGGCCGACGAATTATGCTGAGAGACGCTTTCATATTTAATTGGCAGGTATAAAATTTAAAATTGTGACGGACTGCAACGCAATGAAAATGTCTCTCGACAAAAAAGATGTATGTCCGCGCATCGAAAAATAGTGTTTCGAACTCGAGAGAAATGATAAAACTGTCGAGCATAGATCTGGCGAGCGTATGAAACACGTGGATGCGTCGAGTAGAATGGTGAATGTGATGATAGTCGAAGAAAATTCATTTGAGTCAAATTTAACAATAAATCAAAACTTGGATAAAAAAATAAAAGAAATTCCAGAAAAATTGCAAAGTGACGAGGATAAATTGTATGAAATGCATAATGGATTAGTTTATCGAAAATGTAATGATGAGATTTTGTTCTATGTTCCTGAGAGAATGGTAAATAATGTAATTAGAAAAAATCATGATGACATGGGACATTTCGGTGCCGAAAAGACGTGTCAAGCGATAATGAGGAACTATTGGTTTCCCGGCATGAGAGAGAGAAAAAAAAAGTTTCGAAAAACAAAAAGAAAATTACTCTTTATCAAAGAATATTAAAATCGAAATTTTTGTTTCATTTTTTTATAACCTGAGATGCGAACATTCTATGCTCAGAAGCTATTATTTTGCTTTCTTAGACATAAAATATTATAATTTTTTATTTGTTATTGAAATTTATTATTAAGAATAATTAAACATATTTATTCTTGACGTGACGCGAATGGGTTATGGACGCATCTTATAGGTTATGTTTGTTACGTTTCAAATTAAAATACATAAAGTGGATTAAATTTTATTCTAACAAATTATGTTTTAGCATTTATTATATTTGAAAAATTCAATAAAAGTTACTTTTCATTTTAAAAAATTAAAATAGAATCCATTATTCAAAGAAAAATGAAAAGAAATATAACCTATAAGATTTTACATCGTTCTCAATTTCAATTTTTGTGCGTGTTTAAGTATAAATTATTAACTATATTTTAACTATATTAATCTCCGTATTCTTTCATTCATTCTGTTCGCAGTTTGAAGTTAGTTTCTGTGTATGTTTTTTTCTTTAAAAAATATTATTTGACAAATCGAAAATATGCAGGTATTTTTTCATGATTCAGAATAAAATAAAAAATTGTAGAAAATTGTTAATTGTTAAAAATTTTTATTAAGAAGTAAGAAATATACCCATTTTATGCATAATTTCTATTTCTCAATAACAATATTGTTTACAAACTAATTTTTTTCTTTTGGGAAGAAAAACATTAGATATTCCCGTTTCTTTATATTTTTGTAGAAAATTCTCAATTTTCATAAGGAAATCATTTGCATCAATTTTATTTCTTAATTTCAATTGTTTTAATAAAATTCAAAAATTTTTTTAAATAAAGGAAAATAATGTTTATAAATTATATTTGTCACTTAGAAAATTTAATTGAAAATTAAACTGAAAATTTTTGATAGAAAATAAAGGAAAAAATTTTACTGAAAATAATGTTCTGTTAAATTTATTTACGAATATCTTTAGTTCTACAATTATTCGAAAACAATCATTTCTTTTTTAAATATTTAATTATTATTATTTTTTTATAGGAATTAAGATTTTCAAAAATTTCAAATTCAAACCTTTTTCAAATTAATCAACTTTAAAAATATTTGTTATAAAACATGAAGATATCGATTACTCCGAAAAATTTCTTGACAATGTTAAAATTCACTGAATTTAAATAATAAAACGATAATTTATTATTTAATTTATATTTAAAAAAATCAGATTTCTGATAGCAAATAAAAAAGAGAATTTTTGTTCACGAAAGTCAGAAATGACATTTAGTTCAAGTTAAAAAGAAATCCAATTCACTTCGAATCTTAACTTTTCCATCTCCAGATTGTAAGGGACTTTTTTTCTGTATATCTTATGTTAGTAGAGACCAATCAGAACCGAATATTTCTCTTGGGAACAAGTTTTTGATTAACAAAAAAAAATCTGTCTCGCGGTATATTTTAATTATGTACAATGGCAATTTTCAGAGATTTTATATATCCCATATTTTTACTTTTTTGTAATAATTTTTCAAACTGTTGTTTTAAATTCAAAAAGAAAATATATTATATATGTATGTATATAGATTTTTTTACTATCATCGCATTTTTATCACGTCTTTATGTTCAAACACCATTGACGTTCTGAGAATACTTTCATATATCTGGACCCTTCTTCTTCATCTTATGATATATCCAAGGGGGAAGAGGGCAAATATAATAAGAACAAAGTGGGAAAACTTTTTTTTCCCTCTTCAAGAGGAAAAAGAAATGATAGAAATTCACTAAATTTAAGATTCTAAAAAAATCTCTTTTTTATTTTCTCTATAAAAAAATATTTTTTTTCTTTAAAATATATAATTATATATTCAGTTAAATTATTAAAATTGTAAATAAATATTTTATTTATAAATTAAGTATTTGTTTCAATTTTTTTCAATTAAAAATAGAGTAACGGTGAAAATGTAATAATAGTACCTAATAATAATAACAATTAATAATAAAACGAACAAAACAAACAAAATAATAAATTTTTTGAATTTTCCCTGAATTTTTTAAGACACAATTTTCAATTTTTAATTTATATTCAACAAATTTTTTGATACATAAAAGCATACAAAAACTTAAAAATTTTAACTTTAAATATAAAATAAAAAATAATAATGTTTTAGATCAAACGAAAAGTTTCAACCGCAGAGAAATTTTTATAAAAATAAAAATCGTTAAACGAGCTTAAAACATTTATGAAATAGTCCATATACATATACACATTATGTACACAAAGTTCTGCTGTTTTCTTAATTGGATACATTTTTGCAATGAAAATAATCAACGTTTTTTCGCTTTTGCCTCGTCCTACTTAACTAAATTTTTGCAACAATAATTTTTAAAATTCCCTCTGTAAATTTGAATGAAAATTTCGAGTTTATAAAAATTTCAAGAATTTATTAATTACAGTGGAATTTAATAAAGCAGAGGTACAGAGTACGAAATTGTAAAATATTAATAAAATACAATTTTTATTTGTTAAAAAATGCCTAAATTATAAAAATAAAAAAACAAAAAAATAAAATTATAAATTATAAAATAACTAAATAAGTAAGTAAATTTATTCAAATATTTCAAGTGTCATATAAAGTTGATAAAAAATATTTTTATATTTTAATAATAGGTAACTATTTTCCAATTGTGCCCTAAAGTTTAAAAAAGTTAAAGAAAAACAAATTTAATCAGAGCAAATATTTATCAAATATTATTTAGGTACTATAATATAATGAAAGGCAAATTTAATAAGTCACAAGTTTTTTTAAAAATAAATTTTCACGTAACTTTCACTTTCACAAAAAAAATTTTCACTTTCAATTTCATGAAAGAAATTTTTACTTTAACGCAAAAAATTTTTACGTTAACTCACAAAAATGTCACCTTCACTCAAAAAATTCTTACTTTTAATGAAAACCTTTTCAATTTCACCCAAAATATTTTCCCTTTCACAAAAAAAATTTTCACTTTTACTGTCAATTAAAAAATTTCCAATTTCACCCAAAATACTTTCATTTTCAATGAAAAAATTTTCTCTTAGAATTATACCCAAGGAATTTTTACTTCTAAAGGATTCTTAATTTCATTTTTGCCAACAAATTTTCATTTTCAATTTTACCCAAAATATTTTCATTTTCACCAAAAAAAAATTTCAATTTTACTGTTAACTTAAAAATTTTTACTTTCAATTTCACCCAAAATACTTTCATTTGCCATGACCAAATTTTCACTTAGAATTTCACCCAAAGAATTTTCACTTCAACAAGATTGTTAATTTCATTTTTGCCAACAAATTTTCTGTTTCAATTGAGCTGCCGGATCAAAGAAGGGCACATAAACTCGCCGCGCTGAAAAACGTTGGCCCCTGGCCACTTGAAATTCAACTTTTGATTTAAAATGTTTATTATACATATCCTTATAGAAAATTTGATTGCGCATCTTTTTTTCTTATAAAATTTTTTTCTATTTATTACCGTTTTCGAAATAATGAAGAAAAACCATTTTTTTGAAAACATAAAATTTAATTAAATTTTTCACTTCAACTCGCGATATTTTAGTCAATTTTGGATATTTTTTAATGAAAAAATAACTAAATTACTCGGTGAAATATCCTGCGAATGATGAAAAAAGAAGAAAACTGTTTTCATTAAAAATAAAATTGTTATTAATTTTTTTCTAAACAATTGCAAAAACCGTGAAGTGCAATTTTCACGAGCTTCGTTTAACGGGCGAATTTTAAGCAATAACAAACTTCCAGTGAGAAAGTTGTTTATTATAGTCCAAAGAAGTTTTCTGGAAAGTTATATTATAATTGAACAATTAGCAACAAATTGGTGAATGTTTAAAGTTGCGCGCGCGGCTGAACGTTTGACGCGCGTTTGCTGTTATAAGCTCGACTCAATATGTCACGGTGTTTTCAGTTTTTTCGCTTTTATCTCACTTGAAATTTTCAAGTTTTTCTTTTAAATTAGAAATTAATTCTATAGTAATAATTAATTTTTTGTAAATGTATATTTATAAAGTGTTACAAATATACAAATTGTTACTATAAGTTAAATTAAAACAGAAAAATATTTTAATATTGGTTTATTTTGCCTTAGAGGTTAAGTAAATCAAAACAAACCTTCCACGTGCTGATCTTTCGTATTCTTTTATCTTATTCGTTAAAAAAGATACATATTTTCCTGAGAGGTGAAAAAAAATTTTGTCATATGTGAAGGACTATTGTTTAAAGTGTTTTTTGTTTTTATATTAAAATTTATTTTTAAAATGTCTGATCACTCAAATCATCATGGAAGAAAAAGAAGTAGAAATGCGGAAAATTGGGAACAAAACGTTCGGAAAGAAAAGCGTAACAAGGTAAAAGTGATTAAAATAATAAAAAAAACTATTACTTGCATTATATAAGAATTTTGTTAAAAAAATAAAAATAATAAACATGTAAATGTATATTATTTTTATTTTTAAAGTTTTTGACTTCGTGTTAGAGTAGAAAATGGAATCGTCGACCACGTCCAAATTTTTAATAACTACAAAACAACTACAAAAAAAATTATTTTTTCTTTATTTATTTGGTAAATTAGATCCTTAAAAAACTATTTTTAATAATTACTTTTTAGGGAGAAGAATATATATCTACTTCAAGTAAAGCGGTTGATGCAAAAACGTTTAAAAAAGTCGATTCCTGTTGTCAGCGCTTAAAATGTTATGAGAAAATTAACGTTTCAGATCAACAAAAATTTTACTCAAATTTTTGGGAACTAGCCAATTATGACAAACAAAATGTTTTATTGAGTACAGTAATGAAGTGTAGCGATCCCATATTAATAAATAAAAATTCTGCAAAACCGAGATTAATTCGTTGGAACTTCGAATTATTGCACGAGAGCAAAAATATTCCAATTTGCCAAAAATTTCTTTGCGAAGTACTCAATATAGGAATAAAAAGAATACGGACTGTGCAAAATAAAATTTTAAACAAAGATACTGTGTGCGATCTTCGAGGAAAACATGGTAATCATGTAGTAAAATTAAATGAAGATTTAAAAGAGTTGATTGAAATCCATTGCATAAGTATACCTCATAGATCATCTCACTACAGAAGAGAAAACACTGGTTTAAAGTATTTTGAAAATTCGGAATTAACTTTGGATTTACTCTATGATTTGTTCGTTGAATTTTATAAAAGTGTCACGCAAAAAGATGAAATACCTCTAAACAGATCGACGTACGCGAAATATTTTAACCACAATTTGCCATTTTCTTTTAGACTTCCTCGCACGGATGTTTGTAATTTATGTTACAAAAGTGAAACAAATACTAATGAAAATGAGAATTATGTTGAACATAAACAAAAAGCCAACGATTATTTAACTTTAAAAAATCGGTATTTATCAGAAACAAACGTTTTGTGTTGTGAGTTTGATTACGCGCAAAATTTACCGTTGCCAAAGATTCCCGTAAATGATCAATTTTATAAACGTTTAGTTTGGCTTTATTTGTTTAATGTTCACATACATAATTCAGAAAGCAGCTATATGTATCCCTTTTTTGAAGGAATCACAAAAAAAGGAGCAAATACGGTTTGCAGCTTCCTTTATGATAGCGTGAAGAAAGAATTTGATGCAGAAAATCATAAAAAAATATATTTTTTTTCTGATGCGGCTCCTGGGCAAAATCGTAATTATACAGTGCTTACTTTCTGCTTTCTTTTGTCAATGGAATTAAATGTCGAGATTTTACATATATTTCCTGTTCGCTGACACTCCTACTGCCAATGTGACCGTAATTTCGGCATGTATGCTAAGAAAAAGAAAAAACTCGAGCGCATTGAAACCTTTGATGATTATTGCGCTTTAATTAAAAACGCAAGAAATCCACCTTTCACAGTAGATAAATCAGCGACTGACAAGCTTCAAGATTTTAAAAAATTATTTAAAAACAAATTAATAAAGCCGAAAGGATTAAAAATTAGCGAAGCTTCAGTGATCAGATACACTTCAAATGGAAATATTGAAGTTTTTAAAAACTACGATTTAAAAAATCCCAAAAAATTCGAAATAAAAACGAATCTTCAAAAGATCCAAGATCTTCCCAAATGCAAACCGCCTACGATAGGAATCACTCAGTCTAAAAAAAATGATGTAAAAAGTTTATTGACCTATGTCACCGAAAAAGGACGTTTATGTATCAACGATTATTTATTAACAGTGGGAACAAAAAGTACAAGCAAAGGTGTCAGTCAAAATGATGAATCTTATAGCGATAACAGTGATTTCAATTAAAAGAATAATTTATGAAAGTTGTAATTTAAAAAGTTTTAACTGTTATCATGAATTATTATAATATAAGTGTTCTACATTGTTAACTAATTTTTACAAGAATAATTTTACTACAATAAATTATAATTTATATAATATAAAAAAACTATATTTGATTATTGTTTTATTATTAATAAATATAATTTAACAGCAAACTAAATTTGGTTTTTTTTCGTTTTGAAACACCGTGACATATTGAGTCGAGCTTATAACAGCAAACGCGCGTCAAACGTTCAGCCGCGCGCGCAACTTTAAACATTCACCAATTTGTTGCTAATTGTTCAATTATAATATAACTTTCCAGAAAACTTCTTTGGACTATAATAAACAACTTTCTCACTGGAAGTTTGTTATTGCTTAAAATTCGCCCGTTAAACGAAGCTCGTGAAAATTGCACTTCACGGTTTTTGCAATTGTTTAGAAAAAAATTAATAACAATTTTATTTTTAATGAAAACAGTTTTCTTCTTTTTTCATCATTCGCAGGATATTTCACCGAGTAATTTAGTTATTTTTTCATTAAAAAATATCCAAAATTGACTAAAATATCGCGAGTTGAAGTGAAAAATTTAATTAAATTTTATGTTTTCAAAAAAATGGTTTTTCTTCATTATTTCGAAAACGGTAATAAATAGAAAAAAATTTTATAAGAAAAAAAGATGCGCAATCAAATTTTCTATAAGGATATGTATAATAAACATTTTAAATCAAAAGTTGAATTTCAAGTGGCCAGGGGCCAACGTTTTTCAGCGCGGCGAGTTTATGTGCCCTTCTTTGATCCGGCAGCTCAATTTCACCCAAAATATTTTCATTTTCAATTTCACAAAAAATATTTTCACTTTCAATCAAAACATTTTTAATTTCACCCAAAATATTTTCACTTTCACTCAATAAATTTTTAATTTAATTTTAAAATTTTAATTTTAATTAATTAATTAATTAATAAATAATAATAATAATAATAATAATAATAATAATAATAATAATAATAATTATTATTATTATTATTATTATTTAATTTTAATTTTTTTTTTTTTTTTTTTAATTTTAAAATATTTTAACTTTCACTTTCTATAAAAAAATTTCACACAAAATTTGTTTTGGTATTGAAAGTGAAATGTTTTTTGAAGAAATTAAAAGTGAGACTTTTTTGAATGGAGGTCAATATTTTTTAAGGTGAAATTGAAAATCTTTTGGTTAAAAATGAAAATATTTTAGGTGTAATTTAAAGTAAAAGTTTTTTTGGGTTAAAGTGAAATTTTTTTTTGGTGAAATTGAAAGTAAATACGTTTTTGATTAAATCGAGTGACAATTTTTTTGGGTGAAATTAAAAGTTAACAATTTTTGTCGTGAAAGTGAAAATTTTTTGAGTAAAAGTGAAAGTTACGTGAACGGCACCCCAGTAGTAAAATACATATTCAGTCAGACAGAATGTTTAGCATATAATAAGTATAGTAAAAAACAAATTTTTAAATTATTATTATTATTATTAAATTATTACTCGCGAGTTTTCGGTGTCGCTGATAAGGAATCTATGATCAGATTTGCAAAATTCAAAATGGCGGATCCAATATGGCGGCTTGCAAATTAAAAAAATAAACGGTTTTAACTCAAATTTGGTATACTTATATTTTTTCGGTCGCTGATAACGAATTTAAAGTCAGTTTTTAAAATTTTGAAATGACAGAGCCAAAATGGATCCAAAACTATCAAAAATGGATAGTTTGGCATAAATTTGGCATAAATTTTGTAGTTATGGTTACATAACTGATATCTTATGCGTTACCATTACATTTCGCATTTAACAACAATAACAAAAATATGAACCTTGCAATTAAGGTATAAAGAGAGATTATAACTGAGAGGGTCACCACTTGACTTCCTGAATTTGAAACTAGTTTTACCTCGACCTCTGTAACGCTACGTTGTGTTACTTTAGTTTAAATACGTCAACGTTCCAATTGAGATTACAAAAAAACTAATCCAACATGAAAAAACAATTTGTAAGTTTTTTCTCTGAAAAGAACTTATATGGAATTATATTTTCCACTAGATTTCAGCATTCAGTTTTTTTTTCTTTAAAAAAAATTCCTCCCTCTCTTTCTTTCTCTCTCTCTCTTTCTGATTTCACATTCCCCGGAGAATATATGGCTTGGAATCTTTTCCATTGCGTCTTTTTGCCTCTCACCAGTTTTACTTTTAAACGAGGAAAAGAGGCTCTCAAAGCGTCCATTCTCTACACTTTCGTACATAACAAGCGGATTTTTACCTTTTTTTTAAACGTCATACTATAGTGCTAAAGTAATGCTTAAAAATTATAATCTTTGAATTTAGAAATGAAAAAAATTGCAAAAAAAAATTCGATAGTATCCATTATTTTCAGAATTTGTGCGAGAAAAATAAAGTTGACAGTATCAAAACTAATGCTTTCAATATTTTACAGTTTAATCCCATAGCACCTTTTTTTGTTTCTCTTTTTTTAGAGAATCGACATTCGAAATATTTATCTATCTTATATATCAAGTCATTTTTTTTAAATTTCAAACTTTGGTCCGAAGCCAAAAAACATTTATTAATTGTGGATAAAAAAATTTTTTAAATATGTTCACCTCTAGATTATCATTTTTACGTAAATTGAAAAAAATGTGAGAATTTAGACCTGCTGAATTTGACCTAAATTTATAAATTACATTCGCCATAAGAACCAACTTTTTTATCTAATTTAAAAAAATTTAAATGGTGGATTAAATTTGAATGACAGTATTAATTATAACTAATACGTTGTTACTTTAAAAGATTTTCTTTTTGAAATCTAATAAAAATTCTTTATTTTTTTAAAAATATAATTTTTCTAACAGTTTTTTTTAAATTTTAAAAAAATTAAGAATTATTTGAACAACTCGTATAGAAATCGCCAAGATATTTCTAACAACTTAGATGTATAAAATATTTTTTATTAAATAATTGAACTTTCGAGTACCACTGGAACAATCTTGGTAACTATTTTATAATTCTACATTTTTTTAAAATTCAATTTGTTTCCAAATTTTCAATATTCAATTAGAATTCTTCAGAAATAAGATTACATTTCAAAAATATTTTTAAAAATAAACAAATAAAATTCATTAAAATAGGTATAAAACTTATTTCAATAAAATTTGACAAAATTTTCAATTTTTTAAAATTATTTTCGGACATACAATTATTTTAAAAAACAAATTTTTCTTACATTTTTTCAAGAAACAAATTTTTTCAGAATTTCTAAATTATTCAAAATTTCAATACTTTTTGTTAAACAAAAAAAAAACTTATTCTTATTTATTTTTCCATAGACATTTAAATTTCAATAAAAAACCTTTTGAAATTTAATAATTAATATTTCTAAAAACTGCAACTGTAACTCTTCCAAAATACAAAATTATTTCTTTAGAATTTTTGAATAAAAATATTGAAAACTTAAAAAATTTTTAAAGAAAAATAATTAATTCCTAAAATTCCTGTTATAACGCTTTAAATATTCAATTGTTTTCCTAAATTTAAATTGAAAATTTTTTCAAATTAATTTCTATCAGAATTCAACTAGGAAAATTGAATTATTTAAATAGAATAATTTTTGAAAATTCATAATATAATGTATTTTTAAAGAAAAATTATATTTATAAATCATTTTTAAAGATGACAAAATAATTAGTTTAACAAAATTTTACAAAAAAAAATTTCCAATTGTTTCATTTTTTTTTTTAAATTATTTTCGTGAATTCAAGTATATTTTCAAAAAAATTTTAATTACTATTTTTCAAAAATCTAATTTTCTTTAGAAATTTCTAAACAAATTTTTTAAATTTCAATCATTTTTGTAAAATAAATATTTAAATGTAATACTTATTGTTTTTTATTTGTTTAAAATTTCGAAATACTTTCAAGGTAAAACCATTTGAAAAATTATTTATGAAAATTTGAACTGCAAGTCTTCCAAAATTCAATTATTTTTTGGAATTTTTGAATGATATTATTCAAAACTTTTAATTTTTAAGAAAGCTTACAAATTAATCATTTTTTATATTTAAATATTATTATACTTTTAAAACAATTTCAAAAAGAATGAGTGTAAACAATATTGTTATTGAAAAATAAAAATTATGTCCAAAATGGGTATATTTCCTACTTGTTAATCAAAATTTTGTAACAATTAACAATTTTGTAGTATTTTTTACAAATAAAAAGGAGAATAATTTGCATAATAATTTAGATCAGTCAAACGAAATTTGTTATAGAAAAAAGCATATTTTCGATTTGTCAAACAATATTTTTTAAAGAAAAAAAAAACAAAAGCTGTATTTTCAAACTGCGGACAGATAATGAATGAAAGAATACGGAGATTAATATAGTTGATAATTAATAATAATTATTATTATTGATACTTACGGTTGAGATTAAACTTAAAATTTTTCAATATCCAAATACTATTAATTCATGAATAGACCACAGAAAAAAATATATATAATCATAGTATATATATGGGGCATTCCACGCCAAATCGGAAATTATTTTGCTTTTGCATCTCAAATTTTTTTTAAACATTTTTTTCTTTTACTACTCTTTAAAATGAGCTACTTTGATTTTTTTCAAATTTTTTTATAAAGCGGTTCAGGAGATACAGATTTTTGAAAAATTACATTTTTTACGTAAATTTTTTTTAAAATGCTTATAACTCGGTCAAAAATTGATGAAATTGGACGCTTTTTTAATGAAAAGTTTTGTTTTCACGCGTAGTTTTTAATAAAAATATTTTTAAAAAATTTTATAATAATTTACGATAAGATTTTAAAATTTTTAAAATAAAATTTCATTTTTAATAAGGTATGTATCGATCAATTTTTTTAAAAAATTTTTTGTAAGAAACTAGCACTAAATTAACAATTTTTCAGCCTTGTCCGATCGTGGGCAAACGATGGGATCTATTTATTTTGAAATTTTTAATTTTTATATACACATAGTGAAAACGCGGTAGGCCTAACTTGTCATTTGACCAAATTACAATTTTACACAGAAAGAAAGTTAAGTTTGCAGAGACTCAGTCTGAAAACACATTTGCTGTGAAAAATTTGTGTGATTTTGTCAAATGGCAAGTTAGTCATTTAGTCACCACTGCGTATATAAAAATTAAAAATTTCAAAATTAATAGATCCCCTCGTTTGCCCACGATCAGACAAGGCTTAAAAATTGTTAATTTAGTGCTAGTTTCTTACAAAAGATTTTGAAAAAACTGATCGATACATACAGTACCGTCCGAAATTGTCAGTCCACCCATTTTTAAAAGAATGAATACAATTTTTTAACATAAAATTTATGAAAACTCAAATTTTTTTTGGGTTATATTTTGAAAGACGATAAAATTTTGAAAAGAATAAGACCTCACAGAAGTCTTTTGGACAAAATTTGTAGAAGATATTCTTAAAAATCGTCATTTTCAATGTTTTACAAAAATTTCAATAACTTCTAAAATAATGAACGCTTTTTAATAATCTTAGGCTTATTTTAAAGACCATTTTCCACAGAATAAGAATTACTTATAGGCATTAACCTGTCATTTTTAACTTGGAATAAGCATGACGTCAAAGTTGGACAAAAAAATTCAAAAAATTTGAAATAATATTATTAAAATAAAAATAATTTTTGAAATCCAAACATATTTTTTTATTAAATTTTCTTGAAAAATCTACACCATATCATGTTTTATATATGTTCTAGAATAGTTTTTAGTACAAAAAATTTATTTCAAATTTTTCCAATTTTTTTGTTCAACTTTGACGTCATGCTTATTCCAAATAAAAAATTACAGGTTAATGCCTATAAGTAATTCTTATTTCGTAGAACATGACCTTTAAAATAAGCCTAAGATTATTAAAAAGCGTTCATTATTTTAGAAGTTATTGAAATTTTTGTAAAACATTGAAAATTACGATTTTTAAGAATATCTTTTACAAATTTTGGCCAAATGACTTCTGTAAGGTCTTATTCTTTCCAGAATTTTATCTTCTTTCAAAATATAAACCAAAAAAAATTTTAGTTTTCATGAATTTTATGTTAAAAAATTTTTTTCATTCTTTTAAAAATGGGTGGACTGACAATTTCGGACGGTACTGTACATTGTTAAAAATGAAATTTTATTTTAAAAATTTTAAAATCTTATCGCAAATTATTTAAAAATTTTTTAAAAATATTTTTATTAAAAACTACGCATGAAAACAAAACTTTTCATTATAAAAACGTCCAATTTGATCAATTTTTGACCGAGTTATAAGCATTTAAAAAAAAATTTACGTAAAAAATGTCATTTTTCAAAAATCTGTATCTCCTGAACCGCGTTATGAAAAAATTTGAAAAAAATCAAGGTAGCTCATTTCAAAGAGTACTAAAAGAAAAAAAATGTTTAAAAAAAATTTGAGATGCAAAAGCAAAATAATTTCCGATTTGACGTGGAATGCCCCATATGTATGTCTCTATATAGATGTATAAAAACAATAAGATTTTAAGTGACTCGTATTGGTAAAATGGCTCAGTTATTTTCAAGGGTTGTGATTTTAATATCGATGTTCCACTACATTTTCACGCCAAGCGTCGAGAAGTATTATTTGCCACCACCCTCTCTCTCTTTCCACCCTACACCCACAGTACTCTATTTTCCATCTCGACACTACTTTTTTAACAAGAATTCTTGACGTCTTCTTTTCTGCAGGTCACTGAAAGCTGATCGTTTCACTTTTCTAGGCTCTGTGTATAGACCGAAACCTTCGATAATATCCTTTCAAGGGAAATACATGAATATAACAATACACTTTTCATCGCATGAATACACTAGAAGAAAATAATTTCAACAAGAAAATATAGTTCCTAGAAATTCAATTATTATCGATTTTTAAAAAATTGGATTATATTTATACCATATTGATTTTAACCGCGGGTATTATTTATACTATATTCTCTATCTATACTTAAAAATTTTAAATCAATTTTCTCCTTTTATATAATATAACTGAAAAATTTTATAAGTACATAGAGATTTATAAACTAAATTTTAATTTTAAAAATAAAATAATTCACAAATGGAATACTTAGAAAATCTCAAAATAAATATAAAAGTTTGAAATATTTAAAACCCTCGTGTTGAAATGTAAGCACTGAAAAAAAGCTTTTTAACTAAGCAAAACTTTCTCGCCGATGTAAATCATTTGTGAATTTATCAGAGTTGAAAATACGAAACCATTTATTTTTGGATTTAGTTATATAAAAAAAAATCACAAGTAACTGAAGAAAACAAAATTCCATACCTTCTTTTGATAAAAGAAAAAAAATCACCCTCACAATTCAGGGAATTATTATTATCATCATCATCATCAATGTAGCCTATAACTCTTAAAGATCTAATCAAAAAATCTCTTTAGCTTCGAGCGAAAAAAAGTAAATGTTAAATCAAAGAGGGGAACAGAATCATGCTGCATAAACAGTTTTCCAAATAAAAAGCAACAACTGATTGCCGGATGGGAAAAGAAAATGTTCTAGTACCTAAGAGAATAGGAATGATTTTTAGAAATAGTGAATTGTTGGTGTTAGTTTAAGTGTTTATATATGTTTGTTACAATTTGTGGTGTGTTAACGATAATCAAATTGTGTGTGTGATTGTCTATTGCTTCCTGGGCCTTTGTGGCCAGGCTGAAATAATCAAAATCGATATGGCCGAGAACGACAATTTCTCGGCAACATCAACAAGTCTATCAGTTCAAACTGTTATAGAAAGAAGCAACATAATTGATAATCAAACTCAACTAACGGCTAAAAATCAAGAGAAACAACCATCATCAAAAGAAAGGTAAGAATTTTTTTTACAAAAATTTTCATTTTCTTTCGCTAATTTTATTGCTGATATTTTTCAGTATAACAAAAATTCTCTCTCTGTATTGTACAAAAAATTTTACCATACCGCTATACTTTTTCAGGATTCTACCTTCTCTCCACTTGAACCCTTTAACTATTTAATTTAATCCCTTCTCTTTGTTGGAAATTTTATTTTTCCTCCCTCTCTATTCTTTTTGCTCACGTTTAACCCCTTCTCTTCAACTATTCACTTTAATGATAGAACGCTCAGCATCCTGACGCAGATAGAGGACAAAAAAGATTCGGATTACTTTCAACGAAATCATAATTTCTTTAACATGTCAATGTACTATAAAATCTTTAAATTATTCTATTAGAAAAAGCTTGAAAGCTACAACTCGGGCTTTTGCGGAATTGTTGATAACGAATCAGTTTTTAGTTTTTAAAAATTCAAAATACCGGACGAAGAAATAAAAAATTACCGTATTCACTTGAAACTTGTTAATCAGGGGTTTTCGGGATCACTGATGACGAATCCATAAAAAAATAATTAATTACTCCGAATCCGCTGATGTAGTTGTTGTAGTTGTAGTTGTAGTTGTAGTTGTAGTTGTAGTTGTAGTTGTAGTTGTAGTTGTAGTTGTAGTTGTAGTTGTAGTTGTAGTTGTAGTTGTAGTTGTAGTTGTAGTTGTAGTTGTTTTTGTAATTTTACTACCTTTCTTAGTTAACTGAATTCTAAATTTTTAACTGCATAAGAAATTTTAAAAATTGACTGGGAAATGACCGGGGAATTTTTTTTTTGAACCGGGAATTTCTTGTGTTCTTTCTACTATTTGTTCTTAAAATTTGTTAAATACCCAAAAATGATAAATTTTTTTTAATTTCACAAAAAACCGAAACAGAATTTAAAGTACTAAACCGCTGTTATAGAAGTTTAAAGAATTCCTTTGTTTGTCTTCATGCCTTTTCGTTCTCATTCTTGATCATTTAAAAAATTATACAGTAATAGTGTTTAATTGTTGATAAAAATTTTACCGGGATTTCAATTTTAAAAAGAAAACTCTCCACCCACGTAGGTGGTTAAAAATCTATAAAAAAAATAATAGAATTAAAAAGAATTTAATTTAAACGTATTTTTATGACAATTATGATCTATACTAGTGTTCGGCTGTGGCTGCTACTACTTAAAAGCACTTAAAAGTTACAATAAAATTTTCTATTCTTTAGAATTTTTATTCAGCAACATTCCAGCAACAACCTAGGTTGTTAACAGTCCATAAAAAATAATAAAATTGAAAAGAATTTAATTTAAACGTCTTTTTATGTCAATTATGATCTTCTAATAACGTTCGGCTGTGGCTGCTACTACTTAAAAGCGCTTAAAAGTTAAAATAAAATTTTCTATTCTTTAGAATTTTTATTCAGCAACATTCCAACAACAATCTATAGGTGGTCAGCAGTCTATAAAAAATAATAGAATTGAAAAGAATTTAATTTAAATGTCTTTGTTTATCTTCATGCTTTTTCGATCTCATTCTTGATCATTTAAAAAATTATACAATAATAGTGTTTAATTGTTGATAAAAATTTGACTGTGAAATTTTATAAAATTGACCGGGAGAAGCCGGGAATTCAAATTTAAAAAAAAAACTTGTCTTCCTGATAAAGCAATGGTAACGAGGGTGGAGGGGGTCTAACAAGTTTGAAAAATTGTTAACGTAGTTTATGGACGGCCCGTATAATGAGCGAATCCAACACTGAATCATGAAAATAAGAATATTTAACTGAACTGTGGGCAAATACTTAAAAACAATAGAAAAAAGGACAATTCTACCCCTTAATGAATTCCTTCGAATTAAAAAAAAATTTCCTTTTTTTAACTATGGGCAAAAGCTTGAAAACAATGGAAAAAGAAAAATTCTCCTCATTTTTAAAATTTTTCGCTTTTATAAAAAAAATATTCTTGTTTTTTAACTGTGGGCTAAGCTGTGGGCAAAAACTTGAAATCAATGGGAAAATAATATGTGAATCAGAATAATTCGAAAAAAACACAGAATATAAAAATGGAGGGGTAGGAAAAAAGGGTTTTGGAAAAAAAATTGAAAAAATGGATAATGAAAGTTTTGGAGAAAAGAAAAAAAAGAGTAAAATGTATATAAAAGAGGGATTAAAAGGAAGCGGAACAAAATAATGATGATATTTAAATTTCCTCGTATTATTTCTCATCACCTTAACCGTCTACCTCTCTCTCTCTCTTTCTCTCTCTCTCATTTAAAACCCTTGCTTTTCAATTTATCAAACTATTCCTTAATCCCTTATCATTTCATCATTTTATCCCTTATTCATTTTCAAAACGATTTAATAATATCCATACTTATATTTTTTTTAATTAAAAACCAATTTTTTTTCCTAAACAATAAATGCTCGAAATTAATAATATTTAACACACACATTTTTTTTAATGAAAAAAATATTTTACTAAAAAATATTTCAATAATATATATTTTCTCTCAATTAAAAACGCCGTCCTTTAAATAACATTTTATTTTGAAATTATTTTAATCAACAGTAGAATTCTAATTAACAAAGGTAAAAAAAAGAACATTTTAATTAAAATCACGGCGAGTTAAAAACTTTGTCAGCGATAAATATAATTTCATGAAATATCACAAATAAAAGTATATTTTAATTAAAATTATATTTGCAAATAAAATATTTCTTTCTTCAAATACATTTATTATTACCATAATTATATATTTCAACTGCAATATACTCCAATAATTAGGTAAATTAAAGATACATACTTTTAATAGAAATTAGTTTACAGTAGCTAATTACAAAAGCTATTAATTAGATAATCTACAAGCCATAATCCAATCCATCTTTTATCTTTGATAATTTCATTATTACTGATTTAGGGGAAAACGCAGTAAAAAACACGCTCTTCATTTCTGTTCTGACGATTCTATGTGACTCTCTACTCCCCTATCTCAATTTCTTCAATAAACCAATACTTATTAATTTTTCTTTTTTTATTTCAAAATTATAAAAACAGTTTTAAGTAAATATTAAAAAATAGTTGCATTTATAAATATATTTGTATATATAAATTATTGTAAACATAAAATATATGAGAGGCACTGTTTCTCAAGTGGGCCACCCATTACTTCATTTCAAATTTGATCCAAAAACATTTTATAATTGATTGAAATACAGAGAACTAAATTGAATGAAAAGTTTCAAAAATTTTTTGTTATTTCACAAAATTAAAAATAAAGGATCCAGGGCTACCACGCTTTTGCTCATTTCAAATTCCCTGACTTTTTCAGGGTTTCCAGGTTAAAAAAACGGTATTTTTCCAGGTTTTTAAAACTACATTATTTATATTTTACAAAATTTTTAATTCAAACCTTTTTGAAATTAAACAACTTATAAAAAATTGTTATAAAACATAAAGAAATCGATCACTCCGAGTCTTTGACTCGGAGCAATCGATTTCTTTATGATTTATAATAATTATAAAATTACTTTCATCACTTCAATTCAATTATTGTTTTCCAAAATATTTTTAACTAAAATTCCTCTTTAAATTAATTATTATTAATAATTTTTGAAACATTTCTTTGAACATTTTCAAATCCTTTTGTTTCCAATTCAATTTTACGAAATTTCATCGATTATTCGGAAATTCTTCAATCAAATATTAGAAAATAAAAACTTCAAATAACTTCAAAAAAATTCAATTCAACTTTTACAAAAAAATTAAATCTACACAATTTTAAGATAAAAGTATGAAAAATTCAAACATTCAAAGATTATAATTTGAAACCTTTTTAAAACTCAATTATTATCCAAAGTTTTAACTGAAATTCATATTTGAATCAATTATTATTAGAAAATTCTACGACAATTCAATTATTTAAATACAAAAAAATAATTTATTGAAGAATTGAATGTTTTTTAAAATTTAACTCTCTCATTTAAAGAATTTTGTCAACAAATTTTTAAATAGATAATTAAAATTATTTTGAAGAATTTCAATAACATTTTTAAGAATAATTTCATTTTTCGAGAAATTAGATTAAAATTGTACCTATTAAAAATAATTTGAATCTCTGTAAAAAATTTGATTGAATTAAGAAAGGTTTTTGAAAATAATTGAAATTTTGCCAAGAATTTTATTAAATCTTTTGAAAATAATTGAAATATTGTCAAAATTATTATTACAATTTTTGAAAATAATTGAATTTTGAAGAAAAATTTTAATGTTTACAAAAATAATTAAAATTTTGACAATAAATTTTTTAAACTTTTGTTCATAATTGAATTTTTGCGAAGAATTTTATTACTTTTGAAAATAATTGTATTCTTCAGACGAATTTTTTAATAATATTTCTCTTTAAATACCTAATTGAATTCTTTTGTGAAATTTTATTGAAATAGTAGATATTGAAAATAATTGAATTTTGATAAATTATAGAAATTAATGAAATTTCTACAAAGAATTTTATTAAAATTATTTTGAAAAAAATTGAAGTGTTAAAAAAAATTTCATTAATATTTTTGAAAATAATTTAATTCTTTCAAGAAATTTAATAAAAAATAAATTAACAATAAAAATTAAATGCTAATAAAAAAATTATAGGAAGGCTTTTTAAAATAATTGAGTTTCTTTGATGAATTTTAATAAAATTTTTAAGAATAATGACATTTTTCGAGAAATTCCATTAAAATTGTATTAAAAATAATTTAAATTCTGCGATGAGTTTTATTATTTATGAAAATAATTGTAAATCTATAAAGTTTTTTATTAATTATGAAAATAATTGAATTATTGCGAAGAAAAATTGTGAAGGCAACACATTTAAAATTGAATTAAGAAATTTGAAATAAGAAACTTGAATTAAAGAAAAATTAGATTTCAAGAATAAGCACAATAACTTTAGAAAACAATAACTTTCCAGGATTACAATCAAAATTCCCTGACTTTTCCAG